CCAGCTCTGCCTTTCCACATCCGCAGAAAAGTCAGTGCTGCGTCATGTTTCCCTGTCTAGAAACCAAAGATTTCAGATACTCATAGAAAGTGTCACAGGGTTACCTGTTATTAGTGGAAATGCAAATCCAATTTAGCCTGTAATGTACCCTGGATTTCAGAAATAAAAGAACGGTAATTCTACAGTTTCAAGCTAAGTTTAGTCAGGGCATATCTCTTCTGTCATTGATTTCGTGGTCAGCGGAAACAGATGTGCCAAACAGTATTTCTTTCGGATACCTGGCTTTGGCCCTATCTTTCAGGGTAAGGTTACTGTACAGTTCATGACTCTGCTTAGGAAAAAAGCTTTAAACCCAAGGGGCTGGCTACTTACAGGCATACACATTTCAGCATCTTTTAAACCAGCTCAAAAATGAATCATATGTGATCGTTTGAGAGTTCTGTACTATTAAGAAATAATTTCATGCCATCTCTGACTGTGTGGTAATGCATCTGCTGTTGTGTAATAATATGTCACTTACTGGAATTCTTCACAGGATGTTGGGAGGAAGAGTGTATTTGGATATGAAAAGCACTAATGTTAGACCAAAGTTCCTGATTGCACATTGCTGCAGGGTAACTAGCGTTCCCTGTAGAAATCAGCTCTGGAACAGAACTTGGTTTACAATTATTGTATTAATTTACAGCATTAAAAGCTGTTAAGTCATCTATCTTCAAAATTTTTTGTTGTTTTTCTTTTTTTCTTTTGGTTTTCCCAGAAACAGTCACTTACTTTCTCCTCTTTACTGCATGTATCTTTCTCTTTCTTCTGCATGTTTTTTTCTAGGGCAGGCATTCCTTCATTTCTTTTGATATCTTTTGTTGAGGACAGAAATTGGAGCCACTTGGGGGCACTTATGGAGCCTCACGCCTCAGTTCTGGAAATAGAAAAGATTTAAAGTCCAGTCAGTACCCATTATTTATAACCAAAACGTACATGGGGAGTATTCCCTGCGCAAGCATACACAGAAGCTTCAGAATGCAAAACCGAAGAGAAATAGAATTGCAACATTCAAAACTAGCTGAGCTGAGCCCTGCGGAGATTTCTCTGACGTTCTGTTTGTCTCATTTTGCTATAAATTTCTTTATCTAGAACTATCTGATGCACATAAACGGTCCCTTCTCAGCATGGTTTATTTTGTAGCTCTAATTTTCTTCGCAACACGTTGTGCCGTGATCTGCATGCTTTGTGCTACTGCTCTATGTTAGCTGGAGGAAAGAGGCGACTTCTCTTTGAGTGTACTTATGTCGACACAGGTAATATTAAAGTTGCAGTTTTCTAGCTAAGCATCTTATATGTCCTCCCTTTATCGATTTTATATGAAAGCACCACAGTCTTTAAATGTATTTGTCATTGCATGGTTCCATGGACACAGTGAGGTGCTGTCACCTCCACTGAAGGTGTGGAAGCTGCAGAAAGGAGCTTCATGGAGAGGTGCTTTTGGCCCCTGCAGGCTAGAAGCTCGCAGGGTGCTGGTGCTTTGGGGCATAGCTCCAGGCTGGGGGACCCCTTGAGCCTGCCTGGGCTGGCAGGCTGGCTGTGGGAGCGCTGGGACGGGTGGCATACACTGCGTTTGAGCCGCTTCGCACAGCAGTCTTTCCAAACAGCGTATACCTGTCCAGGGAGACGGCTTCACCTGCCAGAAGTCACAGAAGTCACCTGTGACAGAGCAAATACTCCCACTTGTGTTTCTCTGGTATTGTGGTTGTCTTGGTTTTCACTTCTAAAGATGCCTCTTATTCCTTTTCTGTACAAGAATAAGCTACACAATACACCTATTTCTTCTGATACAACAGTGTCCGCACCAAGCAGCTGTCCTTAAATTACGGTGGTACAGCTAAAGCAGAGAGAGTTCTATGTGATCAGTCAGGGCTTGATGGATCACAGGTTTTTTGGTTTGTATTTTTAATGACTTTGCACTGTGTGTATGCAAAATATAAAAGACAACATGTTGACTAAGTAGAAAAGAACATCACATTTCCTTTCTGAAACCCTTGGGACTGTACATTCAGGGCACTTCAATTATTTCTACGACAGCTTTTAAGAACAATTTGGATAAAAACCTACAGCGTATGAAAGCAAGATGAACAGTTTTGCATAGGAGGGATGGCTATTCCAGCCCTGCGGCTCCAGCACGTAGGCTCTGCCAGTGTGTATGTGGTCACTGACACCTTGTGTCAATCCTGCCCTCTCTGCATCCCACGCTGGCTGCCAGCGGGGCTGTGCGCCTTGAAGTCGGTCGTGTGAGGTTGAGAGCTGTCATTGGGGCCCTGCAACGAGCCACACTGCAAACTCGCGTCGATCTGTCATCTGCTCATGATTTCAACCCAGGCGAGAGATGATTTCCCTCACGGACGGGCCACATTAACCCGCTGCGCTGCTCGGCTCCCTCCCGTGTGCCGCACAGGTCTCGTCACTTCGCCGCGCGCTCTGTTCCCAGCCGCACAGGTTCAAAGCCCTGCAGACAACGGACACGTCCCGTAACTCTTGGAGGAGTGGCTTGCCCAGTTGTCTACGGGCTGGCCTCAGCTCCCCACCTGCCTTCAAATACAGAGCAGCCATTTCACCTTCAGAGCCCCTAAAACTACATTCCTGTGAAGGAAAAACCCTGCTGGTATTCTTCTCACCGGGACTTCTGTTCTTTCTTCCCTTGTGTTTTTTCCGTCGAATTGCAACAGGGAGTCATGCTGACTACAAGTCCATACTGGCTCTGTTTCTGTGGGAAATGCTACTACTAACAGACTTGGGTATCTGTAAAATCGGTGTGATAAAGGGTTTGGGGGAGCTAGTCTGAACCGTGCTTTTCTCCGTCGCGGGGATGAACCGAGGCTTTGTCTCCAGTTCACGCGCTGCCAGCTTAGCATCACACCCAATCCCATATTTGCTTAATAAAGGACAAGGAAACCGACGCAAGAGAAAATCCCGCAGAAGTTCGAGCTGACTTCAAGAGCTGCTCGCTGGAACGACTGCGAGGCGCGCTGTCAAAGTTCTTAGGCAAAGAAAAAAAAAATTAATCCTAGCTGTTTTTATTTACAGCCGGCTTAGCGGGGTGGCTGCGA